GTTTAGGGTTTAGGTTTGGGGAGTTTGGGTTTAGGGCTCAGGGGATATTCAGTGTCCAGGGTTTAGGATGTAGGGTTTGTTATCGGACACTCTAGGTCGAAATGGTCTCATGTTCAGGACGGAATGGTTAGCCATGTTATACTTTTGGGTCTCGGATTTAGGATTCAATGGCTAATGATTACTAAGACCTTCATATTTATAACATGGCAAGCTACACTGAATTATATTCGGGGCCCCCATCTCGGTGACCGTATCCTAAACCCTATACCGCAGCCCCATATAATTTCAAGGTATGTTCCTTGATTAAGTGTTGTAGGGCTCTCTGAACCCTAAACACGAAACCCTAAACCCTAAATCCTAAATCCTAAACCCTAAATCCTAAACCCTAAATCCTAAACCCTAAACCCTAAACCCGTAATCTTCACTGCCATGAATCAGGTGGAGCCGAACTGTACTTTCTCGTTCACCTTCTACTTCCAGCTCCTCGGATGCAGCACTCGGATTCCCAGATTTAGAGCTGACGCTTGCGGGCAATTTGGGGTTGGGGCACAAGGTTTCGGTTTTCTGGGTTAAGGGCCTAAGGTGCTTCAGAGAATTTTGGGGCCTAGTGTTTTGTGTTTTTGTTCGGTTTAGGGGCTACGCCCCCACCACAACAAAGCTTAGACCTGGTACCCCAAGCCACCAGACTGTAGGCCCCATAAGAGGGGGGGGGGCCCTCATGTTGGGGGGGCTTTATACAGGGCTGATCTTGAGGGTTGAGGGTCTTGGAGTTTAGGGTTTAGGGTTTCGGGTTTAGGGTTTAGGGTTTGCAGTCTATGGGATGTTGAAGTGCTATCACAGCTGTAGCATAAGCTTTTATTTGGGGTTTCGAGTCTCGGGGTTTTGCGGTGTTGGGTTTAGTAGTTTAAAGATTTTTTTGTTTTCGGGTTCATCATCGATCACTGATTAAACGCTTTTTCTCGGTGGGTCTTGATGTTTAAAGTTTAGGGTTTTGAGTGTCGTCTGGGGGGCTTCCGGTCTGGGCTGCTGGTTTATTATGAGGCTCAGGAAGTGGGGTTTCGAGTTTGGGGCGTGGGGGGGAGTCCTCTTGAAGTGCAGGCCAGTTCACGCTAAAACTGCATGAGTAGCAAAGTTCCCTTCCCCAAACCCAAAATCTCACCAGCAACTTCGATGCTTCGATGAAGTAGGTCATACTAGTCTTGAACATAGGTCTCCGGAGACCTGTTGTGTAGTAGAACGGTTTGTGAACCCGACACCCTGAAACCGTCAAGTGTGTGTAATAATATAGACGCCTGAGCATTTAGTAAAATTGTTCCTTTCCTTGGGGTTCCTTATTATAGCTATACTATAGTTTTCCCCCAAACCCTATTCTAATCATCAATGCCCCATGGCTAAACCCTAATAGTTTCAACCAACATAATAGCAGAAAGGACGCTTAGAGGAACCCTCCAACAAACCCTCTTGCAATAGTTGAGGGCCTATAGCACTTCATACGGTTGATGGTATAAATCCTGCATTACCCATAATAAGGAATAGACCATAATTCCCCTAGTTTAGGATCCTTAAATTAATGCAGGACTTAGACCGTCAGCCGTATATCATACTTAACGGAGATTAGGCCTCGACCCCTGCGACACGACGGCCCGAACTGTGCATCTCATGTGGTCGACACTAAGCCATCCGCACTATCGCCGCAACCCAGAAGTTTGGAGGCTTGGGCAATTATCCTAAAACCTAAACCCTAGACCCCATTTAGAGGTTTGGGGGTTTTGTAGGGCGCTAAACCCTAAGCCCTAAACCCTAAACCCTAAGCCCTAAACCCTACACCCTAAACCCACGACCCCAAAAGGGCACCTCACGTCTAGACCCCCAAAACTCGTATGGCAAGGTCTCACACGGTGAAGGAGTACGCCTGCCAGCGTTTTCAAGTCAGCACGCCGGGGGGTACACCATTGGTCCGCGCCTCAGCCTTCGGCTTCCGAGGCTTCCGAGGCTTCGAGGCTCAGAGGTTTAGGGTTTAGGGTTTAGGGTTTAGGGTTTAGGGTTTAGGGCTTTAGGGGTTTAGGGCTTTGGGTTTAGGGCTTAGGACTTTGGGTTTAGGGTTTAGGGTCTAGGGTTTAGGGTTTAG